GAGACTGGCACCACTTTTCTCTCAGTGAAATAGCTCTGGATCACTTTGGCAGCGCCTCTTTGGACTGCGACTATACAAAAGCTGAAAGCAACATCCTTTCTTAAATGAGCTGTTTTGTTCTTTGTTTTATAGTTTGCTAAAGTCTCTTACTAAGCCGGAGCAATACCTGGGGCTTTAAAAACAGCAGCAACCCTTTCGGTTATGAGGTGAGCTTTGGATCTCACAAAGACACAAGTTTGTTAGTATTCTAAATAGCTGCCTTAACTAACTACATTCAGACTTTCTGGCGGTTGCCAACACTAGATTTCTAAGACATTTAATCAGATATGCTGGTCATGGACAATGGTGCTTTGATACTGAGCCATAGGGAAGTACAACTGTGACATCTATTTTCCCACCTAGAAATGTGCATGAAACCAGGATACAAAGCACGTGATTTCTGGCAATAATATGGAAAGAGTTTTTTTCCCCCCTTTCCTTTGAAACCGTGAAATCTTGAAAATCATCCCATTTTATAACGTGATATTTGCAAAATATATTTTTGTCCCCAACATTGTGTTATAGTGCTTGAAACCTTTCGCTGTGACTGAATGTAAAAGAAAAGAAAAGCTGCTATTCCCTGAATGCTATTCATGAAGATCTTTTAAACACAGAGGAAACACTGGTTCTGTTGTAGAAACTGCAGAGTTCATAGGAGCAAAATAACTACAGTACTTCTGATTCAATATGAATTCAGGAGTGAGTAAAGTAAGGATTTCCTTTATTCTTTCTAACCAGGTGTATGTGTATTATTATTTTTCCCAAAGTAATGTTGGTATTTCTCTTGGTCTTGCTGTCATTCCACAGTCAGTTATGTTTCTCTAAAAGAACCAAACAATTTAAAATAACAATTAAAGAAAGAAGACTAGACAAGGTGTGCTCCTTTCTTTCCTTATATTTTGGGCAGAATGCCAAAAAAAGGGGGGGTGACCCTTCAGACTGTTGCTGAAACTGACTTTTTAAATTTTATTTGCATCCTCCATGGCCATAACTGCTCTGCATCCCATGTTATCTAAGATAACAATCATCAGAGGAGTGAAATGATAGCTGTTGTATAACTTTTTACAGATTAAATCTAGTTGAAAGTGATAACTGGCTGGGGAAGGCCACCTATTTTGTTCATCTGTTTCTTTATTTGATTTTAATGTAAGGTGGTAGACCAGTATTTCCCAAACTGGGGGTCATGACCCCCAAGGGGGTCACAAAGTATTTTCTGAAGGGTCACCTTATAAGTTGTAACCCTTGTTAAATAACTTCTTCCTTGAGCATTCAGAGCGGGATATTACATGAGAAACAGGCCTTTTGTGGGGAGAAAGTAGCCTCTACTTCCTGAGAATGGATGACTTTCCCCCTTTAAAAATGCCTTTTATGCAAACATGGCAGGGAGGTTGCAGGTTGCTTGGCTATTATAAAAGGGGGCTATGCCCTGAAAATGGTTGGGAACTACTGTTCTAGACCTTTCTGAGATCCAAAAAAAAAGTACAAGAAAAAGTTTAGACTTACAGAGCAACAAGTGTTTTCCTTGGTTTGCACCATTCTGTTCAAGTGTAGGGGCAGTGAGATCATGAATAAGCACTCAATATGTAATTTTCTTTGGTTTTTAAAATGTGTACCATACATTTACTACATTCATCATAAATTACTTAGATTCTTTATACTTCAGCCGTTTGGTGATGTCTTGTTTATTTATTCTGTGTTCTTTATTCCCTAGTCGTTATTTTCTACTGTTTTGAGTGTAGTCTTTGCTAAGGCAAGGTCCTGGTTGCAATTGGCACCTCTTGCCCTTATTGTTAGCACTAAAAATAGTTTTTCAGCTTCTAACTATTACTATAAGTTACTGTGTGACTCTACTTCCACTGTTGCTACTTTTGCATACAAAGTTGTTTGCTGGGAACAGTAAGCTTCTGGTCTGCAGCATTGCCTGTTGCAGCTGAAAAATAAAGGGATTAGGATGAATAGTTCCCTAGTTTGCTTATTTGTGTAAACGTACAGCAAACGTACAATTGACCTAACATTGGAGACTGGATTTAAAAAATGAGAACACTTGGTTAAAATGGGCAGATGGCAACTGTAAAGAGGATTTATGCAGGCATTAGTAAGGTAGAGTTGCATTGCACTGGGGTTATGCTTAATGACTCTTACCTCTTTGAGTGAAGCTCTTCTACCATAAAGCCCCACCCTCATCTGTAATGCAGGATGTGTTTTACCTGTCTGACATCAACATTATACGTATGTGTCCCATTTCTCTGAGTGGTGAGAAGTTTCAGGGACACACTTAACCTGAATGGTAGAATCATAGAATTGTAGAGCTGGATGTGACCCCAAGGGTTGTTAAATCCAATCCCATGCCAAAGCAGGAAATCCACAGGTAAGACAGATGGCCATTTGTTGAAAAGCCTACAATGAAGGAGAGGCTGCCACCTTCTGATACAGTCCATTCCATTATCACAAAACTTTTACTGCCAAGGAAGTTCATCCTAATTTTTATTTTTTAAAAATATCCTACCTTCTCATTTGAATCAATTCACTTGAGTTCTACTTTCTGGAGACGCAGAAAACAAACTTATCTATTTTCTAAATAGGCATCACTTCCAATATTTGAAGATGGCTATCATATTATCTCTAAGCACTCTCTTCTCTAAGCTAAATATACCTACAGTAGCTCTCTCAACGTTTTCACATACAGCTTGGTTTCTAGACAGTTCATCATTACAGTCACCTTCCTTTGGTTCAATTTAAGCTTGTCTATATGCTCCTTAAATTGTGGTGCCCTAAACTAGATGCAGATGGTGTTTCAGGTAAAGTATGATTATAGCAGAATAAAGTGGTAGTATTATTTCCCTTGTTCTGGAATGTTGTACTTCTTCAAATTCCTCCTAATATTGCATTTGCTTTCATTGTCATCACATCACAATGTTAACTCATGTTTAGCCTCTGATCTATTGCGATCACAGATCACTTTTACCTGTACTATTGCCAAGCCAGTTGTCAACCATTCCGTATTTCTGCATTTGGTTTTTCTTGCCTAAATATAGAATTTCACATTTCCCTCTATTGAAACTCATTTTGTTTGTTGTGGCTCTAGTTTAAGATAATCCTGAATCCTGGTTGTACTTTCTGAAGTATTAACGACCCTTCCCAGTTTGTTGTCATGATGAGCAACCTGCCTGTGAGATCATTTACAAAGATACAGATTGAGCAAAGTCAGAAAGGAGGCAAGTGAAACATTTCAACAAAGCAGACTTCAGATTTCTAGAATATCATTGGCAAATGCTATTAGTTTAGAGAGGCCAAAAACCTCAGCTCTCCCAGTGTGTTTTTGACTCAGAACTGCAGCTTCTGCTGTTTCCTTCACACAGGCTGCATCTAGAGAGGGAGGTGTCCCATGTTGATTTGGGCCAGGTTTGAGATTCCTGTGGCAGTTAAATCACTGTTGTCATTCACACAGAATCTTAACCTTGGCGGTTTTGAGGGCAAGAGTTCAGACTGCACCTCAAATTGCTGCAATTTTCATGGAATCACTGCTCTTTTCTTAGCCTCTTTTTTTATAAAAAGGTTTTGACGAGTGGCATAGTGCTGAATTGATAAACCAACCTGTGAAACTGCAATGCTTATGCAGCATACTGCTATATGGGGGGAAATAATTTTAAAAATTGCTTGGAGGAAAAGACAAAAAGTGCTCACTTGAGGGGAATGTTCCCACTGTACTGGCACACCCTTCAGCAGAGAACTGTTTGCCAATACAGTGGGAACACCCCCCTCAGGAGAGCACTTCTTGTCTCTTCCTCTAGACATTTTTGTGATATAAGTACAAATTGTTACATCAGTTAATGGGGGGAAATAATTTTAAAAATTGCTTGGAGGAAAAGACAAAAAGTGCTCACTTGAGGGGAATGTTCCCACTGTACTGGCACACCCTTCAGCAGAGAACTGTTTGCCAATACAGTGGGAACACCCCCCTCAGGAGAGCACTTCTTGTCTCTTCCTCTAGACATTTTTGTGATATAAGTACAAATTGTTACATCAGTTAACACACACACACACACACACTGTATATATATCACTGCAAGACTCATTGGAAAAGCAATAATCCCTTCCGGCCGAAGGAGGGGTAAGAAAAGCAATCAAGTGTGCAAGACCCATCAGAAATGCACAGAAAACAAAGGGGCCAGGTTGGAAATGCAAAGAGAACAAAGGAAAAAGCAAGGGAAGCATGTAAGACCATTGGAAATGGGGGGGGGGGACAAAAAAACAAACAAACCCCCCAAGACCATCGGAAATGGGAAAAAACACCCCAAAAAGCAACCAAATCCCCCAAGAAACATTGGAAAGGAGGGGAACCAAAAACCAAACAAACCCCCCAAGCCCCATCACGGCACAGAAACATAAAAAAAACCAGCCCAAAACTACACTGCGAAAACACCCAGAACACTTTTTTAAAAGCAGGAAATGCCACCTTACCTTTCTAGGCAGCCCGAAGCCTCCCTGCAAACACAGACACACGCTCTCTCAGAAGCAGAAAGAGGCAGTCCCAAGCCTCCTCCGATGCACACTTTCTAACTGCTGGGGCAAAAAAGCAGCCTCATCGCCACCTACAGTTAGAAATTTGAATTTTCCCCCTGCCTTTTTCTATTCGTAAGTGGAAGCTCCAATCACAAGTAGAAGCAAAATTTTACTGCCAGAACTGGCTGTAACTCGAAATGGTCATAAGCAGGGATGTTCATAAGTCAAGGCACCACTGTATATGTACAGCATATATTTAAAGACACCTCAGCATCAACTTTATCCTAGGACATACCCACCACTGCTCATTTAGACCAGTATAGGTGATCACACATGCTAGAAATAGGAGGGAAATGCAAGAGGAACCACTATTAAAAATAAAAAAAATTAAAAAGAGAGATCAGGCTATTAAAGTCCAAGATCCCAACCAAGTGTTCCCTTAGATAATAATTCCCAACCTTTTTTCGTTTGTGTACCCCTTGGCAGCTCATTTCCAGAACTTGCACCCTTCATATTAAGGTCTGGGGCTGGGCTAAGGGGACTCTCCACTCTCTCATCTTCAGGTTGCTTCCTTGTTGCCCATGGTGGTGTGCATAAGCATGCCAGCAAAGGAATTAAAATCCATATGGAATGTTGTACAAACTGCTGTCAAGAGAAAGGGAGCAGGCAGTACAAGCGCCTGGGTTGGTGGCACAACAAGAACAGACACCGCCTTGGCACGAAAGCCAATTGGTTGGGTGGAGAAAGAAGGAAAGCTGAAAGCTTTATATCCTGTTCAGGATATAAATAAGTGTTTTGCACTGTTGGTGTGTGTGCCTTTTTCTGCCATTATTCAATTTTTGTCATGTGCCTCTAAGTGTCCTGGTTAGTACCACTGGGGGTATATGTACCCCAGGTTGGGAATCACTGCCTTAGATTATGCATTTGCCTTTTAATGTTATCAGGCTGGTGTAAAGTCATGTTGTCGTTTTTGTTTGTTTGCTTCTCTGTTTCTTTTGTTAGGAAGAATACAAATATGTCTCAATACATTCTGAAATCACCAAGGGTGTGAATAAAAGGGGAAACCACTCCTTTTTTGAAGTGCATATGTAGCATTTGCAAATGTCTTCTGATATACGCTCACTGTTTGAAACCTTTTTTGAAAACGAGTCAACAGCTCTGCATAATTAGAATACTAAATGGTAAAAATATTGATTTTTCACTGCACTTAGCTTATTTTAAACTAATAATTTATTAAAATATAATATAAAACATATCTGTGGTTTGTTTCCACTGGGATCATTCTGCTAGCACAAAGCTTCTACTAACTGTGGGAAATCTGCTGTCCTCTTTGCTCAAATGTGAAAGCCAGTCTTTCAATTCTACTTGTGTAAGTGCATGTGTTTTTATATGCAATTTTGCCTAAAGAACATATTTTCCAAGCTTGTGGTGCAATACAATATATCTGGGAACATGATTTTTCATGGATATAGGCACTTCCGTGTGTGCTTTCTCCTCCTGATACACATTTCTGTGCAGTTTTTTTAAGGACTCGGTTGCAAACTTTTGAAAAGTGCAAATTTTAAAGAGGATTACTGAGTTTCAGTTCACATATTGCTTTAAAAGTGCAACATTTAGGTGCATTCACATTCAAATGCAAATTATGTAAATTTGTCTAGTCCTCAAGGCAGACAAGGGGGTATTTGCCTCAATATGGTTGGGAAGGGCCACTATCCGTAGGCATTGGCTAATATTACTTCATCTTTTAATTTTGCAGGTTGCTTTTTACCAGCTTCCTTTGTCTGATACTGCCAAACCACCACAGTTCTCCTTAGCCATCGCTTGTCAGACTTGCCATTTATTATCGATCACATGGTGCTGTCCTTGAGGCTGAGGTAGTAGATTGAATAGTTGTGGAGCCATATTCTCCCTCTGAGCTAACTATACAATCTACTGTCTTTCCTAAGGAGACAGTCAACTCGTCTGCTTCTGGTGCGTCACCCTCTTCAGTACTGACACTCAAGTCTTCTGCCATGGACATAAATACTTTGGTGTCTGGCCCCTGATTCTCCAGCTGCTGCAAAAGGTGTGGGGACTCTGTTCTGCTTGGTGAGGTGAGGTAGTAGGTTGTATAGTTTGTGGGAGGGATTACATCCCATTTCAGGTGATAACTATACAGTCTATTGCCTTCCTTAAGGAGCAGCAAATCTGCCATAGGAAACATTTGACACACACAGCTTCAGAAATATGTCTTCTTTTATGGGGTGCAGTCACAAGGAGCACCAAAAGAACAAGGTGGCCGTTTCCTGTATTCCATCTCCTATGTCTTGGACTTTTGGTGGATAGTTCATTGAAAACATCAATCCAGCATGTTGCACAAAAGGCAAATTCCATATTGAGGATAAGGATATTAAAAATGAAATTGCAGTGTCCCAATGTGTTTATTACACTGGCTCAGCCGTACTTGAAATATGATGTACAATTTTGGTCATTTCGCCTTATAACAAATATTGGAGAGCTTAAAAAGTGAAGAAGGGGGCAAACCAAATGTCAAGATATTAGAGCTATGAGGAAAAGTTGCAGTGTTTGGGACCATTTAGTTTGGGAGGGGGGGGAGAGAGAAGAAAAATAGATGAATGCATAATGTTTGGTGTGAAGAAAATGAATAGTCCCCCCTCTTTATAATGATCAGGGATTCAGGATAGACCAGAGGAAACCCTTCACACAGTGCAGAAACTGTGGAAATAGGTATCAAATGATATAGTGATGGGCGTCTTTGGAAGGGAATTAGACAAATTCCTACTTAAAGCTTTAAGCGACTACTAGCTATGATGGCTATATGCTACCTCAGGAATCAGAGGCAGTATGGGAATACAAGCTTATTGAACTGCTATCTTGCCTATGAACTTCACATATGCATCTGGTTGGTCACTTGGGAACAGAATTGTGAAATAGATGGGTCTTCCAATCAATCCCACAGGGCTCTATATCTTCATAATATATAGCCCTCTTTCTCCTTTGCCACCTGCCTCATCTAAGCTGACCGAGGGACCCAGAAGAGACCTTGAAAAATCTTAGGGACCATGAAGGTACATTAAGGTAACTGGACCTTCAGCTTTATAGGAAAGTAAATGTGCACATTAGAACTTTGAATTTTGCTTGGAAATATGCCAAAAGCTGGCGGAGACCTTTGAGTACTGGTAAGACATGTTCTTGAGACCTCTTTCTGGCCAGCAGTTTAGTTGCTGTGTTCTATGTTTACTGCATTTTCCAAGTAGTTCCAAGGCAGCCCCATACACAGTACATTACTGTAGTCTAGCCTGAGAAGTACTGGCTTATTAATAACTGAAAGAAAGATGTATCTCTTCAGGAGAAGTTGCAGCTGGTACAGCAGTCAACTGCGGTCTAGGTATGTGTTTTAAAGATTATTTGTGCCTCTTTTTTTCTTTTCACTGCTCCTGCATAGTAGTGAATTTGGTGGCATAGTGTTGGGAGCTATAGCTCCTGGTGGTTTCAGGACTGGACAATGTAGCCCCAGAAGTTGCCCACCTTATTTACGGGAGACATAACCCATGCAGAACAAAGTGGACAACACCCTGGAACATATGATGACTATAAGATTAATATATGGCAATATTTTCCTGCACCTAACAAAGGATGCGAGCTCAACTAAATTGAGACTATGTTTGTCTCAGGTAGATTAATATTTTGAACATATGTTAACTGATGAACTGACAGATATAATATATTGTACAAATGCTGTACATTTTATTCCTTAGTTTTGTATTCCCAGTGATGTCATATGATCACCCATTAGGGAATAGGAATCTTATGGTACATCTTTGGATTGACTGTGGCAGAAGACCTTGAGATATTGGGCAGACCTCAGCAAGCTTTTCATTGATCAGTGTGAGGACAAGGGCCAATACAAGCAGGGGACATCCAAATATAACACCAGAAGCTCTGGCAGATCGGTGTGCCTGCAACAACATGACACATAACTCACATTCCCCTGTTCCAGCCTCTGATTTGAAAGACCTTTGGAATGTGCTCTTCTTAGTTACACAAGAGTGTGCAACAGGCAGATCTCATCATTCTGTGGGCCCAGTGCCCCTGTAGAATTTCACTGCTCTTTTGTTAAACTTAGGTCACTTTTCTTCTTTGCACATTTCCATCTTCAGGAAACCATCCTAAATCTGTGGTGGCAGAAAATGGGGTATGACTGTGGATTTAAGAACTTTTGAGATGGTTGAGGTTTGGTATTAATGATGAAAAGTCATTGTTGTGAAAGCTGCAATTGCACAAGATGATTAATTCTCCTCTTCAACAAGCATAAAAGCACCTCTGCTTCATCTTATCTACCTTGTAAATACAACAGGTTGGAAGTAGAGATGTGAGTGACATTATAAACAAAATAATTAGAAGACAGGAAGAAAACAGAAATGGACTGAAAACATTTTTTGCTATCACTCCTTAGCGATGTTAGCTGCAAATTCCAGACTGGAACCAAAAGTTAACACAATAAAGAAAGAAAACTCACACTTAGATGTTAGGGCACCACTGTTGTGAGACTAGAATATTCCAAGGTGTCTCTATGCCTTGAATTTCTATAGAATGTAGGAAGGAAAATTATTGTTTTAGTTACAGATTGTTTATATAAATTTAATTCCCCACCACCACCAAGTGCAAACCTCCTGGGTGACACACAGTGAAATCAAGGACAATAAAATAAAATAAGACTTGAAAAAATACACATTTAATATTGATGTCTAAAACAAAGTAGGTGCTTGAGAAATATACAGGGTGATGGTATTCCAGAGGCTGAAGATCACTATTCGTTTATGAAGGTGGACATCTAAGAGAAAGTCTCCAGAAGAGAGCCTCCATATATACAAGCAGGTGACTCTATAAGTAAGAGCTAACATTTTTAATTCTGTTTAAGCAAAAATGTGTAGACAGTGAAAGTCTTTGACCACTAAAACTATATGATGGAATCTGTGGATCCCACTTATCAACCTTGCAAACATATTTTGTACCAGCATGTGTTTGAAAAATATTTGGAATCAAGCAGACTCATAATTAATGGATGGTAGTAATCCAGCCTAAACATTATGAAAGGAAAAAAAATTATGGGAAGATCAGCAAATATCACCTGCTGTTCATGCTCCTTGCTGATACAAACTTCCTAACATACCTGGAGTTGGCAAATGTCTCAGTTCACCAGACAGAAAGGCCTCCCGGTTTGGTCCAGCAAGACTGGCCTTGTGTAGCACTACATGACCATTTATTTCCAAAAGAAATTGCAAGTGTAACATAGATCATGTTTTCCGGTTATGAGATAGAAGTATGGTGGTAAAGTACATGCTCATACATGTGTCATCATGACAATCCACAGAGCCAAACCTCAAAGAGTTTTAAAAAACAAGGACAACTGTATTGTTCTACAGTGGGGTTTCTACTTAAGAACTTAATCCGTATTGGAAGGTGGTTCTCAAGTTGAAAAGTTCTTATGTTGAATCTGCATTTCCCATAGGAATGCATTGAAAACCATTGTTTTAATGGAATTTTATTACCCTGCTCGAC